AATCTGCTCTCCTTTAAAAAGAAATTGGGAAAAAAATAAACAGGGGGCTAATAATTTTGACCTTATCTGACCTTATCTGAACTTATTTATTTCCAAATGAAGGTCTGTATAAAAAAATTTAAATGAAACATGAAAAAAGTATCAAACACATGAAGAAAGGAAGGTTTAGAAATATATGCAAAGCCCAGACAGCAGCTGAAATCTCTCTGGAGTTATTCAGCTACCCTCTGCCCTTCCTCATTGTAAATAATATAAGCTGCTTCAGTCCAACATCTACAGTACATTAGCAGGATGATGAAGACCAGAGTGGACATGACAATGATCAGAAACACAGCCAGGGCAACTCTCAAATGCTTTCAGAGAAAGAAAAAAAAAACATGTAGAAAGGCTCAGCCAATCACCTGACTTGAATCTAATAGAAAGTACAAAATAAGATCAGTTTGCATAGACGAAATCCACAGAACCATCAAGATGTTTACACTCTGTTGAAGTCTGTGGAAAAATTCACACCTAAGAAATGCATGTGACTTCCTTCTCCATATAAGAGGCATCTTTAAGCAGCCTTGTATGTATATATATATATGTGTGTGTGTGTGTGTGTGTGTGTGTGTGTGTGTGTGTGTGTGTGTGTGTGTGTGTGTGTGTGTGTGTGTGTGTGTGTGTGTGTGTGTGTGTGTGTGTGTGTGTATGTATATGTATATATATATATATATATATATGTATGTATATATATATATATATATATATATGTATGTATATATGTATATGTGTGTGTGTGTGTGTGTGTATCTTATTATCATATAAGTGAAAACCGTGTCATTTCCAGTCAAAAAACATTGAATAGTTGAATAAAAGTAAATTTAAGTAGGAATTTGTCAATAGTATGAATAATTTCCGGCTTGACTGTTTATGCGCTGAGTGATTTAGAGAAATATTGTACTCAATAATGCTGTAAAAGTGGACATTTTACACTCCAAACACGCTGTCCTTTTTTACTAAACTAGAATTTATGATTGGTTTATTTATGGGCAAGTTTATCAGTAGTTCTCACAATGTGATTTAAAAATGCGCTTTCCCTCTGTCTCAGATTTTTTTGACACAACTTTTTTGTTTTAAGTGTATCTACATATTTCAGAAAAGCAGAAATACACTGAAACATGAAATTAGCCGATTAGCGGTTTCCTCACGCTGCTCAAAAACATCTTAAATTGGCTATTTAAATCACCACTCGTAATAATAGCTTGCCTCAAAGCAGCCACAGGATTTGATGGCATAAACTCCTTTTCCTTTCCTCGGCGGGTCGTGACACAGTGTTTCTGGGTCACTGTGCGAGTCTGCTGCTGCTGCCAGATGCGGGACAGCTCTGACTAGCAGCCCTGCGGCCTGGCTTTGACATTTATAGGATCGGGGGTGACACATTAATGCGGCGTTATATACGAGAAGAGCAAACCATCGCATACTTTCTGCTTTCATTTCCCTCATCCTTCGCACGTTCCAGCTTGCTGCCTGTCCTCCTCTTTTCTGGCTGGAGTGTACCGGGAAACAGAAGTGCTTGTGTGTTGGGCTTTTTCCCCTCAGCCCTCAAACGTCAAGCCAAGGCCTCAGATTTGCTCCTCAAGGTGTTTGTGTGTCAGTTTGCATAAACCTTTATTTACTCACTTGCATTTGGTTTGTGGGAGCATGTCATTCGATTCGGTTGGCTTTAATGAATCGGTTTTATGTGAAGTGTGATAATGGACGCGTATTTATATGTTGAGTTTACTGGCTCTAGTGAGTTTTTTGTGGATTACTAAACTGGTATATAGATCACAGCATTGATTTTAAAAACTGTATGTCTGGACATTATGGGTTATTTGTTTGCTTGTACAGTTTACAGCTGTTCTGTATACACTGTTTTGTAAACCGCAAACTACAATGGCTGCGTCCGAAGTCACCTACTACTCAGTTTACTGTATTTGAATTTAAACGTACTACTCGGCTGTTAAAAAAGAGCATTCTATACACTATGAATGTGATTAGTATGAATGAAAATTGACATACTACATCTGCCATTTTGTCATCATGACGTGACCTACCCTTGTCAGTTGCATCTCTTCACTTCCATTCATGAATTCTCCTGTGGTGCATCATGGAATAGTGTACCGTCCATCAGATGTGCACCTCAGAATCTCGCCGGATGTTGTAGGTCATCCGGGTACTATTCCGACATACTACCTGGCTCGCATACTGTTTTCAACGTACTATATAGTATAGAAGTTTGCAATTTCGCACCCAGCCAATCGGCCTCAAATATTGGTCAAATAAATCAGAATCGCATGTATAAACAGTCAAGCCTGAAATTATACATACCCCTGGGAAATTCTGACATAAAGTTTTTGTTGAAATGGTTAGCAGACAAAAACATTAACGTTTTGCAGTGGCCGAGCCAGAGTCCTGACCTAAATTCAATTGAGAATCTATGGAGGGAGCTAAAGATAAGCATTTTAAACTCTTGCCAGAAGTAGTAGGTCATCTGGGTACTTCTCGCATACTGGTTTTTGAATACTATGAATTTGGACATACTACTCTGCTCGCATACTGTTTTTAGTGTACAATACAGTATGGAGATATGCGATTTCGGACGCAGCCAATCGGCCTAAATTATTGGTCAAATAAATCAGAATCACACGTATAAACAGTCAAGCCTGAATTTATACTTACCCCTGGGAAATTCTGACATAAAGTTTTTGTGAAAATGGTTAGCAGACAAAAACATTAATGTTATGCAGTGGCCCAGACAGAGTCCTGACCTAAATTCAATTGTAAACCTGTGGAGGAAGCTAAAGAAAAGCACTTCAGAATCTCGTCAGAAGTAGAAGAGCATCTGGGTACTTCTCGCATACTGTATTTTGAGTTCTATGAGTTTAGACATACTACTCTGCTTGCATACTGTTTTTAGCATACTATATAGAATGGAAATATGCAATTTCAGATGCAATCAATCTCTTTTTATTCACCTTGTGACATAAATTGTTGTTCTATTACAGTATGTTGTGGATTTAAAGACATTCAGTCTTTTCTTTCATTATTTTTTTCCTGTGAGTCTTGACCTTGATGAAGCATTAATTAATTGTAATATTTGAATTTGATTGAATGTTTTTAATTTAATTTGATTGATTAACCGATATTACAAAATAATATAACCATTTTTACAAACAATATTAACTGTTTTAAACATTTATTTAACTGTTAAAGTAGCAAATCCTGATGTTACATTGATTTCTAAATAGTTTTGTGACTTTAGAAAGCTAAAGTAATGATGCTGAAAATGCAGCTTTGTTAATTAATTTCCTAATAATGTGTATTTAAACAGAAATTTGATCATTTAAATTATAATCCCAGGATGTCCTTTAAAAAAAGAGTAGTCGTTTAACCCTAGCATCCTGGCCAAATTTTCCCACTGGCCTCTGTCCGTCTAGGCCTCCTAACCACCCCCATATCACAATTGGCTCCATCACTCTGTATCCTCTCCACCAATCAGCTGCTGTGCAGTCTGACGCAATATGGCTGCTGTTGCGTCATCCAGGTGGATGCTCACACTAGTGGTGGATGAGAAGATTCCCCCCAAAAATGTGTACAGCACTTTGAGTGTCCAAAAAAGCTCTATATAAACATAAGGAATTAGCTCCATTTCACCATTTTACAGTTGTTGTTTTTTGTAGAAGCTTCTGTGAACATTACGTACTATGAATCAAAAACATGCCAACATATAGCAATGTACCAGTACTGAATGCATTCATAAAGCACTAATAACTTGTGTTTTTTTTCTTCTTCTTCTTTCGTATCACTCGTAAACCTGACAAATAAAGTAAATGCAAGATGTTGATGCTTTGACACTTTTCTTTGAGATTTGGTGATTGAGACAGACAGACAGACTGACGAGAGCTGTTCTGGGATCTGCTGTCATGGCATCTATTTTTTCCCACTTACAGCTGCATAGAGACCCTTCCCGGCCCTGTCCCGACCCTGTCCCACTCTTTCCTGCACTCCACTGCTTCAAAGCAAAGCTCGCAGCCTAGAACTGTCGACACGGCAAACAAACCAAATCATTTAGTTCACCCCAAAATGAAAACATGCTCACTATTTACTTACCCTCAAGTGCTTTAAACCAGTGTTTCTCAACCACGTTCCTAAAAGACCACCAACACCGCATATTATGGTCTGTGACACCCATTACAGCTTCTTCAGTCTTTGCTAATGAGCTAATGATCTGAATCAGGTGTGTTTGCTTAGGAGACACGGAAAATGTGCAGAGCTGGTGTTCCTCCAGGAACGTGGTTGAGACACACTGGTTTAAACGTTTATGACTTTCATTAATGTGCTCAAAAGAAGATACTTTGGGGAACGCTTAAAACCTGTAACCATTGATTTCCATGTTGTTTGTTTTTTCTATTATGAAAGTCAATGGTTACAGGTTTTCAGCAGTTATCTTTCAACAGTATCTTATTTCAAGTTTAATAGAAGAAAAATAATCTTATAAAGGAGTAAATGATGACAGAATTTTCATTTTTGGGGCGAAATAACTCTTCAAGCAGTATTTCTTCTGGTTTTCCGGTTTAATTATCTAATGGCAAATGAGATCTAGTTTAAAAAAAAAAATTTATGCAAAAAATAAATATTTGACAATAGGGTAAGACAGAAATGTACATCAATTTGTCTTACCTCACTGCCAAAATACATTTTCTTGTTTTAAAACGTTCTTGCTGGAAAACAAGACCAAAATACTGATTAAAAAACATTTTTGTTGCTGTGCAACTGGCTTTTCTATACTTCACGGCAACCAAAAACTATCCTAGCATTGTCTTATCTGTAGATAATTTTTTTTTTTTTTAGCATTTTCATCAAACACTTGTAACATTTAAGAAGCTAATTTTTTTTAGATGACGATTAAGCAGAAGAAAACCCTGTTTGATTAAATCCACATCTCTGTTCTGCCATTTTGTTGATCCCATTTTTACCAGGACTCTCGTCGCCTGGTTCTCTTAAGAAGTCGGGGAAATTCGATTTCAGCGCTCTGTCCGGCCATACGAGGTCTGCACGCATGCCGTTCACCCATCACCCGCTGCCCATGCTGGCAGGTGTAAGACCAGGTGAGAGACACCAGAGTCCCTCCCCCATCCCCCACCTCCCACATCCCCCCCTCCCTGTCCCGCTCCCTCATGGATGTGGTGAAGTTCGGGGAGAGGCGAGCTCGTGTTTTTGGGTCGGGTGAAGGCGTTCGCCATTCGTCCCCCCACCACCCCCCACCCTCGTTCTCCTCTGTACCGAAGCTGATTTGTCTTTCTGTCTGTCTGTCTGTCTGTCTGTCAGTGTGATTGGTTGGTTTATTTGGTCTCTCCATTTCCTGACTTCATGTCCTCAGCTGCAGGTCTCATTTCAATCTCCTGCAGATGCCCGTCAGCTTGTAAACATGCTCTTGCGGTGATCAAAGTCACGATCCTCACTAAGTCCGTGCCGTACAAGACTCTCAGGAGTAAAAAAAAAAAAAACAGATATTTTTAAGGAAGTGTTTTATCATCTATTATTGATTGATCCGGATGGAAGGGAGAAAATTGTAAATGGGCCAACATTTTCTCAGAGATTCATTACAACATATAAGCACTGAAAACAGACAGATTGATAGACCAATAGACAGATGAAGGGATAGATAAAATCGAAAGATGTTAACAAACGGGATGAACTGCAGTACAGATAGATAATAGGTGGATGAATGGATAAAAGATTGACAGATAGGTAAACAGTTAGGTAGGTAAACTGTAATATAGATGCATAGATAGATGGATGCATCAATGGATGGATGGATTAAAACTTATTACACCTAAATAAAGGATTGTTTTTGGCCTAAACTGTTATAGATTAAAAGGATAGTTTACCTAAAGGTAGAAATTCTGTCATTTACTCAACATTCGTTTTTTTTTTGTGAGTTTCTTTCTTCAGTTATTTTTTGTTTTTGCTTTTCAAGATGTTTTGAAAATTGTTGGAAACCTGTAACCATCGACCATTTAACAATTAAACAATGGTTGCAGGTTTCCAATTTGTTTCAAAATATCTACTTTTGTGTTCAACAGAATAAAGAAACTGTATTAAAAAAAACTTTGGAACAAACTAAGGGAGAGTAATGGTGAGTAAATTTTCATTGGATGGACAGACAGACAGACAGACAGACACACAGAGAGGTAGATTGATGGATGGATGGATAAGGATAGATATGGATACATAGAACGATAGATAAGAACGATAGATAGATAGACAGATGGATGGATGGATGGATGGATGGATGGATGGATGGATGGATGGATATAGATAGATATGGATAAATAAAACGACGGATAGATAGATAGATAGATAGATAGATAGATAGATAGATAGATAGATAGATAGATAGATAGATAGATAGATAGATAGATAGATAGATAGATAGATAGATAGATAGATAGATAGATAGATAGATAGATAGATAGATATGGATAGACAGATGGACAGACAGATAGATAAATAGATTGATGGATTGATGGACGGACAGATAGATAGACAGACAGACAGCTAGATAGATAGATAGATTGATTGATAGATAGACAGACAGCTAGATAGACAGATAGATAGATAGATAGATAGATAGATAGATAGATAGATAGATAGATAGATAGATAGATAGATAGATAGATAGATAGATAGATAGATAGATAGATAGATAGATAGATAGATAGATTGACTGACTGACTGACTGACAGACAGACAGACAGACAGACAGACAGACAGACAGACAGACAGACAGACAGACAGACAGACAGACTGATTGATTGACTGACTGACTGACAGACAGACAGACAGACAGACAGACAGACAGACAGACAGATAGATAGATAGATATGGATAGACAGATAGATATGGATAGACAGATGGACAGACAGATAGATAAATAGGTTGATGGATTGATGGACGGACAGATAGATAGACACAGACAGACAGACAGACAGCTAGATAGATAGATAAATAGATTGATAGATAGACAGACAGCTAGATAGATAGATAGATAGATAGATAGATAGATGGACGGACGGACGGACGGACGGACGGACGGACGGACGGACGGACGGACAGACAGATAGACAGATAGATAGATAGTTGGGCAGATGCCCTCTCGTTGTGTGGCCATGTGTTGTTTTGTGTTTGGAGCTGTTGTTGTGTAGTCTCTCCATGTTGGAGGGGGTCTTTGGTGGCGGTAGTTTTGGTGCCATTTGCCTCTTCCTTGAAGCCTTGGCTCCGTCCCATTCCCTAATGGGATTAAAGTGTGGATGATGAAAGAGCGAAAGAAACCGAGGAAGAGGAGGGAATAGCGGTCTGCACAGCAGAGAGGGTGAAAAGCAGGGCTTTGGCTGGGAGCGTGGTGCCCGCGTCTGGGTTACAGCGAGCCTCTGTGAGTTGGCAGACTGTCCTAGGCAGCTGGAGGCCCCGCTTGGCTGGAGGACATAAGACCCCTCACCCCGCCACTCGCCATTGGCAAACCAGAGCGCATCATTACTTATATCTGCAGTTCATGCACAATAGGGTTGTGTTGATAACAATATATTACACATACTGTAGGCCGATATTCCATAAGTCAGTGTATCATTATAATGAACATGCACATGCTTGATATCTTGGCCAAAATATAGTGAATACTTATTTATTATTTACACTTTGAGTGATTTTACCGATTATTCAGCTTGATTTTCAAATGATGTTCATAACAGAGCCAAATGCTTCGAGACTTAATTGATTAATTTACTTAATAGTTCTTATATGTACATTTACACGTTAATCTGGCTCCCTACATGCTGAAATATTGAGGGAAAATTATGTGAGTATGTATAAATGTTATTGTACATTAACACAGAGCAGTACGGCTCTAGTAGGTAACAATAGTTAATTTAACTAAACTCACAATTAAAACTACCAAAGTCTTTTTTATTGTTCTTATTTATCATTTTTTTTTCTTAGTTACTGTCTAATAATGCATTAAAACTGTGGTTGTAAGCTTATTTTGAGTCGTAATCATTTTATTTAATATAGTTTGTAACTATATTACAATATACTATATATAAAATATACTATACTATATATAAAAATTTATATTAATTTTTAAAATGAATATTAACATAGTAACACTGTAATAAAACTAGCTTTTTCACTGTTAGTTTAACATTAACTGATGAGACTTGCCTATTGTACTTTATCATCCTTTTGCAATTGGTTGAAACATTTACTTTGAATATGTTTATACTATAAAGAAATACACCAAGTACTTTTTTATTATGCCTGTTTTAGTAACCTTTTTTGCAACTAAAGTCAATGTCATGATAAAGCCCTATACTGGGATAAAAGCTTCAGCAATTCATTACAAGGAGATTTTGATAGCGTCATATAAGCCTACAATATACCAATGCTTATTTCTCAATATTTTTAGTGGTTTATTGGTTTGCGTCTTTTTCCTATTCTTATTTTTCCTTTGTAGAGTTGAGTTTGAAAAAGTTAAAGCAAACCATGAGAAAGACATTGAAACCAGCTGACACTCTCACTTGTCTGCTTGTGGCTGATAGACAGACGGTTGGAGTTTATGGACGTTGTTGGCAATTTGTATTAAAACCAATCATCCATTATATCATCCATTACCAAATGTGACTAAATAGCACTTAAGGGTCCTTATTTGTATGTGTGCATGTGTGCGTCTATATACAGTATATATATTTGAGTTTGGGAGAAAGCAAATATCTTCACATTGTCTTTGAGTCTGATTACTTTGATTAATGCAGCATTGATGTTGTTGATTTTTGTATCTGCTTAAGGACATTAATATACTTTGTTTTTCTTTTAGTGTTCAGATACAGTTGAAGTCAAAATTATTATCCCCCGTTTATTTTTTTCCCCAATTTCTGTTAAACGGAGAGCAGATTTTTTCAACACATTACTAAACATAATAGTTTTAATAACTCATTTCTAATAACTGATTTATTTTATCTTTGCCGTGATGACAGTAAATAATATTTGACTAGACACTTTTATACAGCTTAAAGTGACATTTAAAGGGTTAATTAGGTTATAGGCAGGTTAGGGTAAACTAATTAGGCCGGTTTGTTCTGTATACACACACACACACACACACACAGGAGGGCCTAAAAAATAACCTTAATAACCTAAGCCAAATTAAAAGAAATAAGACTGCCCAGAAGAAATTTTTTTATTAGAAAATACTGTAAAAAATGTCCTTGCTCTGTTAAACTTCACTTGGGAAATATTTTAAAATGATTACGATTTTACAGGAGGGCTAGCATTTAAATGTTTCTTTTAACTGTATATATATTTGTTTGCTTGAGTGTGCATATGTAAACAAGGATGCGGTATAGGGTCGTTCTGGTTACAGTTTGTCCTAAGGCTGGGCGATATCGCAAAAATGCAATCTTGATAATTATTTTCCATATTGAACGATAATGATATATATTTTTATACAAGTTGTCAATGCTTCCAGATTTAAAAAGCATCCCAACAAAGACTGAAGCCAGAAAAATTTGAGGGTCCATGGTAAAACATATTTTCGGCCGATAAATTCGATACATCGCTAATCAGGCTGCACAAAATATGGCTTCAGCATCAACATTGCAATGTGCGCATACACAATAGTCACATCACTGGATCTGCAATGTTAAACCAGCATCATTATTGACCAGAATTTGAAAGAAGATACCAAAACATTTATTATTTCTGTGTGCCCCCCTTTGAATTTTCTTTTCTTTTTTTAAATATTTCCCAAATAATGTTTAACAGAGCAAGGAAATTTTCACAGTATGTCTGATAATAATTCTTCTTCTGGAGAAAGTCTTATTTGTTTTATTTAAGCTAGAATAAAAGCAGTTTTAATTTTTTTTAAACACCATTATAAGGACAAAATTATTAGTCCCTTTAAGCTGTATTTTTTCGATAGTCTACGGAATAAACCATTGTTGTACACTGACTTGCCTAATTACCCTAACCTGCCTAGTTAACCTAATTAACCCAGTTAAGCCTTTAAATGTCACTTTAAGCTGTATAGAAGTGTCTTGAAAAATATCTAGTCAAATATTATTTACTGTCATCATGGCAAAGATAAAATAAATCGGTTATTAAAGATGAGTTATTAAAACTATTATGTTTAGAAATGTGTTAAAAAAAATCTTAAATCCATTAAACAGAAAATGGGGGGGTGATAATTCAGGGGGTGAATAATTCTGACTTCAATATATATATATATATTATATTATATATGTGTGTTATTATATTATATATATATATGTGTGTGTGTGTGTGTGTGTGTGTGTGTGATAAGGAATATTATCACTTGATTATTAAATTTGTGTATCTATATATTGCTAAACTTCCAGAAAATGATTGAGCCCTGTATATTTTCTATTTACAGTAGTGTGGCTCTACTGTGTTTCTCAGTGTTAGTGATTGTTTTTTTTTATATTTTATGTAGATGCACTCCCTTACACAATCATCCCGGTGTATCAAAAATGATGAATTCTTTCCAAATAGACTTTTCATTTCATCTGGTGGAATTATATATTCAGTATCACTATATATATATATATATATATATATATATATATATATCAAAGAGAAAGAAAACATCACAACGTCAGTTTTTTTCAATATTGTCCGGGCCTAATCTCTAATATCGACATACTTTTAGATTCCCATTATTGCGCATTTCTGCTGTGTGATTGATTCTTATAGAGTAAAAACATAGAATGAAAAGTCCAGAGCGTGATGTTATTGGCATAAACTTTATTGCAATTCAATATAACATGGTTTATCGGCCCAGCTCTAGTTTGTCCTCACTTGTATTAATGGAGACAAACACACCATTTTTCCTGAACTGATTTCCATCTCTGTATTCTTGTGCGTCTGTTTCTCATTTCGGCTCATTACTACTATACTTCTCGTTGTTCCTATAATAATGTTTATATATATTTAACCTGTGTGTCTCTGTGTGTGTGTGTCTGTCAGCAGGAAGTCCCCGCGCCTCTGCTTCCTCCCTGCACTTCCCCTCACCCTCCCTCATCCAGCAGTCCAGCCCGTACTTCACCCATCCCACCATCCGATACCACCACCACCCGGGACAGGACCCGCTCAAGGAGTTTGTGCAGTTTGTGTGCGCCGATGGATCTGGACAGGCTAGCGGTCAGGTAAGAAGAAATCAACTTCATTGCTTTAACGAATGAATATCGGGAATTGCATCCTATGGTAATAGTTACACTATTATAATGTATTATTATGTATCTTATTTTAAACATGCACAGAACAGGAAACACTGCATGGTTTTTAACTGAGCCATTGTCACTTTATTAAATGAGGATTACTGCTGACTAGTGGTGTAACGGATCACAAATCTCACGGTTCGGATCACACTATGGTTTTTGAGTCGCGGATTGGATCATTTTTCAGATCAGCTAAAAATGGAGGAGACAAATGTCATTTGCTTTCCATTTGTACTAAAATATTACTGCAAATGCCAAAGGTTTAACAAACAGAACTTAGAACTTGTAATTTCAATAAAAATAATGAACCAGCTGAAAAAAAAAAGAAATTATTCAATAGGAAAAATGATCTTTGCTACTGTTGCTGTTAGTGCTAAATATAGAAATCTTGAACAACAGGTCATGTTTATTTCCAACTAATAATTCAACAATTCACACATAAAACTTCATGCTTACTTACAGGTGGGTCATTTTTGGAAACCTATTCAGTGACATAATTTGGATGGTTGTTTGTCGCCACCTCTTGGTTAAACAATGTAATTGCTACAACATTCAACAGTGTCAAGTTCCATTAAACAGTGATTTTAATCTTTATCATAAACATCAGTGTTTATATCTGAACTATAAACTGTTCTCCCAGCACTTCTGTGTTATTGAATTGTTTGTAACAAACTGAAAGTGTAAAAACTGAATCTCTCTTGATCAAACACAGATTTGACTGCAGCGCTTCGAAGGATTGATGAACATATGCAAATCATTGTCATTTATCATTCATGTTGCGCAGGTTTCAATTGGGATCACAGTCTTTTAATGGTTAATTCTGCAGCTTTATACTGAATGCATTAATGCAGGCTAAACAAACAGTGACAGAAAACACCTTTAATAACCTTAAAAAGTATTTAGGTCCCACCACAATTTTTTCTGTCATCATTATATTTTACAGGGAAGCCTAAATGCTTTCATACAACGTTGTTTAAATGACGCGGAAGGCGATCTCTCTTGCAATTGGCACGTATGTTCCGAACTGTGTGTTGTGATCCGTACACCCCTACTACTGACTGCATATTACATGTTATAATATAAGGAAATATCAATGATATATGCAGTATGCCACTGCAATACAAGCATTGTTTAACAGAACTTCATAGTTGTCATATTTTGTAAACATATCTGTCTTATGAATTTAATGGATTTTTTGTGAATAAAACAACAATTTAAACTATATATATATATATATATATATATATATATATATATATATATAAAACTGTTTACCAACGTGAACACAGCTAAATTAAAGTTATCAAGCATTTAAATATATAAATAAATATATATATATATATATATATATATATATATATATATATATATATATATATATATGATTTATTAAACTATACATTTAAAAAACCATACTACGTTAAACGTGAATCAAGCTCCTCGTGTGATACAGTACCTGTAAACTGTCTTCCCGATAAAAAGCAAATATGTGCGTTCCTTGTCTCTGAGGCCGAATAATCGGTCACTGTTATGTATTTTGTGCTTGTCTAGACGATCTTGAGTTAATCTCTCCTTCTCTGTCCACTTCCACGATAAAAACCCATCTGCGCCACGGCTGACCACCTTTCAGCGTCGCGTGCCTCCCCTCCTTTTTTCTGCTTCTCACATTTTTTTTCTTCTTTTTTACCGTCAATGTGGCTTTTGGTTTTAGTCATTTTTTTCGCGCCCTGATTTAGATTTGACATCATTCCATGGACCAAAACTCACCCTTCCTTCATTTGTGCGTGCATTTCTTCCTCCCGTTCCTCTTCTTCCTCTTCCTTCCCTGATATCCTCCATGTTTTTTGTTCACTGCTCCTGTCTGTGCCTGTGGTGAAGTCGACACATAAACACTTTCATTTACAAAAAAATAAATAAATAAATATAGATATTCACCATCTTTTTGATTGTTTTCCTCTCAACACTCTCTACTACCAGCCCACCAACCCTCCTCATTCTTTAATTTCTTGAGTTTTTTTGTTGGTTTAATTGGGGGCGAGTCTGCGTTGTGTTCTCCATCTGCGGGGTGTTGGGCGTTTCCGTACTCCTCACCCTGTTTGTGTCGTCTGCAGCCGAACGGAAGCGGCCAGAGCAAAATGCCGGGCTCCTTCTTACTGCCTCCACCCCCCCCTGTGGCGCGTCCAGTGCCCCTCCCAATGCCAGACTCTAAACCCAGCAGCACACCCCCCGATGGTGGACTCACCTCACCCACATCTCCGTGTAAGTGACCCCAAACCCCCATTCCACCTGGGAGAAAGCCAGTCGTCTAGCCAAAGCTGGGCCGTTTTTTCTGTTCCTTCACTTAACATTATTCACAATTGCCGTGATTTGTGGGTCAAAATTAGCCCTGTCTAAAAATCAAAGCAAAACCAATACAACTTTTTTTCTAGGTCTTTTTTTTTTTTTTTTTGATGCATTCCGATTTTGAGGCAGAGAGTTTTGTGTCCTTATTGACGTTTTGTTAAAGTATGGAGCCAATAAAGGGATGTGGTGATGGGAAGAAATAAGATAGGTGGACAAGTTCCAGTGCTTTAACTTTGAATTGACTTCAGAAAGTATGTGTTCTCTTTCAAAGCCTTCAATTTAACCTATGACACTAAAAGTATGACAGCTCAAAGTGTTGCGCACTGGATGTGCACATTCTATACGTGATCATAATCAAGCAATAAAGTACATCCAGGGGGTTGTTATCACAGAATAACACCTTTCAGGCTTATCGGCAGCCTGAAGCAAAGCAGAGCACTGTTGTATAAGACTGAAGGGCTTTTATTGTAAAAAAAAAAAAACAACCACCTGGAGGTGTTTTACTTTGCTTTTTACCTTTCTACTTGCCATAAAATGTAAAAATTAGATACAAAACATTATTCTGAGCCATGTTATTTCATTAATTCTTTAATTAAAAACAAAGCTGACCAAAAATGGCTGAATGGAGCATACACTAACCTACATATTATTCAGGCACAAGATGGTGCTAAACTGTCAAAAACAGTGGCGTGAAAGACAAGTATAATAATATGAATGTATTCACTGACGCGGTTGTTAGCGGTTTTTATCTGGGAATAACATACTTTGGCATGAGGCACGGCTTGTCTAGTGTGCAACCCCCTTTAGGGGCTGATCACACCGAATGTGCTTTTCCGCTCTAAAAACGCAAGTTGCGCTGCACTACCTGTTTTTCTTGAACATAAAAATACTAGTGCGGTGCATTTTTCATGTAGCTAGGCAATGACTGAATCAGCTGCGTATTGTGCCCAAGCATTGCTGTTGATATTGTTATAATTGTAATAGGGTTGGCCGATTAAAATTGGTATCGATATTTATTGACTGAACACCATTGTCAGTATAGATTAAAAAAAATAAAAATAAAAGATTCAATGTCAACGATGTAGTTTTATAAAAATGTGGCTGCTGAGTGAGCCTAGGAAGAAATGCCAGTAAGCTTAGAGTATACTTTTTCTTAATTTCCAATGGAGGCGCGCAACTTGTACTTGTACTTTTCCGAATGCCGCAAACGCATCGCAACTCATGTAAGTAGAACTAACTGTAGGTAGAACTGTCTAGCCACAGTGAGGACATTGTAAATAAAAAGGATGTAAGGATGTCACCAGAGTCGCTTTTTGGTTTCTTTTCTTGTGCATCCCAACCACTAGCACCCTATATGAAAGTGAAAATTTTTAGCATGGGGGGTAATGTAGTCATTCAACTTAACAATTTGTAGTGTTGCAGTATGTATTTGAATAATGATGGTTAGTTCCTTTACTTAAAGCTCAGATTTGATCATCATAATTTGTTTTGTTTACAGAGTTTGAGGTTTAATGTATCATTATTAATCACATCTTTACCCATTTACTCTTTACTATTGCACGCACTTTGTAACATTTTATTTGTCAAGTTTTTGAGTCTCTTTAACACTTATTTTATTATAAAGAGATCAGATATTTTGTTTAAATATTTTGGTTTTTGACTATTAATACTATTTGCCTTACGTATTGTTGGTAAATTAAAATAAAGTGGTTAAATATAAATATGAATATTCCTAAATGTTTTGTTAAAAAAATGCAATAATTATCAATATCGAATGATATGAAACATGATATTGTGATAATATTTTTTGCAATATCTCCCAGCCCTAAATTGTAATATTTAATAATATTGCGATATTCACGATTTGTGAAGTCAAACAGCTCCGGACAACTCGAGACAGCGACCAATAGTCTTTCCTCCATCTTTAAAAATCTCTGTAGTCGTCTTGACAACACAAACACTGCAGGCACCTCAAAGGAAACCACGCCTCTGCTTTCTTTTGATTGGAGAATGAAAAAAACCCAGATTGACATAGCTCACTTTTTCTGCTCAGAGTTGACTTACTTTTCAGATTCAGGTGCAAATTGCACAGTGGCAAAAACCTCTATTTTAATTTTATAAAATATTTGTACAGTCTTGTGAAGCTTTCAAGTTCCGCAATAAAATTTGGCGTTGAGATATTTGTAGATAGTACAACAATTTCTACTTTTCTTGCAAAATTTCGGGTTACTTTACAATTGATTGACAAAATGTTCTTAAGCAACACTTTTGAGTTCTCCCAAGAAACTTCACCTTTACTTAGAACAAAATATTTGGTTTGCTTACAAAACAAAATCTTCTCCATTGCCCTGAGAGTCTGTTGCATCGCATAACATTTGCATTCCCTGAGAAACTTTGCATTTCCTCTGAAAACTTTGGAGTTCTCTCCAAAAACTTTTTTGTTCCCCCAAGAAACTTTTTAAATATGTGTAAGAAATGTTTGAGCTCCCCCAGAAAGCATTCTCTCTGCACACTTTAGTGTTCCCGCGAGAAACTTTGCATTTGTTTGCAAAACATTTCCGTTCTTCCACAAAACTTTTGAGTTTCCCCTAGAAACCTGGCAAAAACCTATGCGTCCTCCTAAAAAACGTTCACATTTGCTCCCTTTTGTGATGGAAATAAAAAGAAGTGGGAGGAAAAAAGTATATTTCAGAGCTTTAGCGAGTGAGTGCAAACTTTCTTGAGGGAATGCAAGATAATGCAGAAGCGCTGAAATATAATTGAGCCTCCTGTCTCAGATTTTCTTCAATCACCACGTTCCATTAGAGCCTCCCAGAGTGCAAATTTAGGGCAGTTAAAGTGGACTCCCCCCCAAAAAATAATTTTTTTATAAAAAGGCATTAATAATTAGAGTGTTTGCATGACAAATGTCTCTATCCAAATAAAAAGAGCTGCTTAGACCAGTGTTTCTCAACCACGTTCCTGAAGGTCCACCGGCACTGCATGTTTTGGATGTCTCTTTTGTCTGTGACACCCATTACAGGTCTTTCAGTCTCTGCTAATGAGCTGATGATCTGAATCAGGTGTGTTTGGTTAAGGAAACATGGAAAATGTGCAGAGCTGGTGGTCCTCCAGGAACATGGTTGAGAAACACTGGATTAGACCATCTTGAACATTTATTCTGAAGTGCGTTGGAAATTCCTCCTAATCCTAAAATGCAGAAGGAAACAGGGAACTCATGCTTTGTAATTTTTTACGTTGGTTTGCTTTGAGTTTGTTTTGGTTGCCTTCACATTGCTGGTTAGCTTGTGGGAATGTTCTAGTTGAGCTCCAGTGCTGGTCTACAGGTCAGTTCATGCGTTAGGCATCTTCCGCAGTTTGAGAGAGAAATATGGCATAGCGCTGGATAACATCTCACTCACCACAGACGGGGCACTGGACGGAGCACTTGCATTTCTTTTCCTCTTTTCTTTCACGTTTCTCATTTTTTGCTTTTCCTTGCCTTTTAATTTCTTTCCTTTTTTCCACATTTATTTATGTTGTTTGTTTGTGTGTGTGTGTGTCTTTTTATGTGTTTATATGTTGCTGATTCTCCAGAACGCGCTTAACACTCCTGCTCAACAATATATCGAGAGTGGGTTTTCTTATATTAAAGCTTTCCGTAATATACAGGCCTTTATGTGTTACATTGTAGAAAGTTGGTTTACCTAAAAGTAAATATTGGGCATTACAGACATGTTACCAAGGTAAATGTAAAAATACAAAACATATGAGTGTTAAGCATGGAAATATATGACTCTCTTGGCCATAAAAATCCAAAAACAATTGCAAATGTTCAGTAAATAACTGAACTAACAACAATAATCAGATTGTTTTCTGCCAAATAAGTATCTCATTGAGCTGTAGTTTTTTTATGGTGGCAGATAAATGACAGAAAGGATGTACATTAATACTAAAAATAATGCATTAATGCATCATTTGGTTTAGCAATCAGTGGTGTTTTAAATTCATGTTATACTTAAATTAAAGTATTAGATCATGACGCACTTTCTACAAGCTTTCTACTTAACCCTTGTGTGCTGTTGAGGATGTTTTCATCCACTCTGGGGGGATTTTTGTGTCTTAATTTGGCCATAAATTTCTATGTGTTTCAGCTGGCAGACTGATTTTTGGTCCCAAATCTTATTTTGACACATATTTTGAGAAAATGCTGTGATTTTTATTTTTATATATAAACTCAACGATACACTCTGGGCAAATTGACTGCCCTTTTTGTTATGTTCTGGATTAAAACATCCACTGAATTAAACTGCTGTAAAATGCATCTTTTTTTCTAATTTATTTGCATAAATCTGTTAATCAACTTCAGTCCTGATTAAAACTCTTAACTCTTTAATTGCCAAATTCACAAATTATGTTGCTGATTTGTTGGAAAATGATGTATTTTCAATATAAAAAGTAACTGTGGACTGGATTTTATTTGACCTTTTGTCACAGTCTTGGACATTTGAACAACACTGCCTCTGATGGATTGTTTTAGATTAATTGTCCTTTTTTCCTCCCTAATTTACTGTTGGTGGCTGTTTTTGCCGCATTGACTTCCATTATAACCACATTGTGTTAAATACAAAACCATGACACCATATAATCATGCATTTTTGATTGTTGGTGGTTTTCTTTATTGGGAAAAGGTCAAATTTGTCATTTTTACTGTTGATCATGAGATGGCAACATTAACCCTTTAGATAGGCCTGTGCAAAAAAAAAAAAAAAAAACTAGTTTCTGGATTTTATATGGAGTGTAACAGCAAATTAAAGTGTGTTTATGTGTGTCTGTCAGTGACCTTTACGCACTTACCCTAATGTGTCTGAGAAAATCAAAATATGCATCTCAGCTCTCAGAACTACATGGAGTAAATAAAAACAAAGACTGTGTATTTATGCACCATCAAATGTGCCTATAATGGAAGTCAGTGGGGAAAAAACAGCCATCAACAGTAAAGTAGTGAGAAAAAAAAGAAAATCTAATCATGCATCAAAGCCAATGTTGTTACTATTATCGTTCACATGTCCAAGACTGTGAAAAGAGGGAAAACAAATCCAGTCCACAATTATGTTTATATTGAATATGTCATTTTGTGTGTTTATTTCACCAAATCAGAGACATCATTTATGAATTTGGCAATTAAAGAGTTAAACTTTTTATGCAAAATAAACGTGAAAAAAATATTGATCTGATGCATTTTTACAGCAGTTTAATTCAGTGGATGTTTTCATCTCTAACATAACAAAAGGGTAGTCATTTTGAACAGTGCACAAGGATTAAAAATATCATGTTTAATTAGCTGTTAATTACAGTTTGTTTCCAATTGTTTACAGTATCAGTATTCTGCTTGTAAATGTACAGTTGAAGTCTGAATTATTAGTCCCCCTTTTAATTTTTCTTTCTTTTTTTATTATTTCCCAAGATATGTTTAACAGAGCAAGGAAATTTTCACAGTATGTCTGATAATACTTTTTTCTTCTGGAGAAAGTCTGATTTGTTTTATTTTGGCAAGAATAAAAGCATTTTTTTTTTTTTTTTTTTTTTTATAAATCATTTTAAGGTCAGAATTATTAGCCTCTTTAAGATATATACTTTTTCAATAGTCTAAAGAACAAACCATCATTATACAATAACTTGCCTAATTACCCTAACCTGCCCAGTTAACCTAATTAACTTACTTAAGCATTTAAATGTCACTTAAAGCTGTATAGAAGTGTCTTGAAAAATATCCAGTCAAATATTATTTACTGTCATCATGGAAAAGATAAAATAAATCAGTTATTAGAAATGAGTTATTAAAACTATTATGTTTAGAAATGTGTTAAAAAAATATTTTCTCCTTTAAACAGAAATTGGAGAAAAAAAAATTGGGGGCTAATAATTCTGACTTCAACTGTATGTATATTTCAGTTGAATTTATTAGCATTGTATTCAAAATTATTCTGTATAATAATAATAAACTTGTGTATGTTAAAGCAACTGTAGCTAATTGTGATAATAGAGATGTGTTTATATTTAAGGGGAGGGAGGGGGGTATCGTATGTTCCTCAGTGTTTTGCTAATGAAAGTGCAGCTCTTTGTGTTTAATTTCCCCCCCTTTTTTTTTGCACATATGATCTCCATATTTGATGAAGTGTTACGCTGTGGAGTCCATTGAATAAATCTGAAGCCCCACACTGCCCTAAATTTGATGACGCCTTCTATTGATCTTCAACTGTGTGTGAACCCAGAACACAGTGTATTTCTGACGATAAGCGCTTGCATGTTGTGTTTGTTGTAGGCCGTTTAACACAAAAAGATGTCGTTTTTGACTATATATTAGGGTGAGCAGATGGCCCTGTTTTCCGGGGGCAGTCCTAGTTTTTGACTGAAGCTGCTTTAATTAAATATATATTTATTTATATTAATTTATTGTCCTTTTTTCCTAACTTTTCACCAGTGAAATAGAAAACGTCAGAAATCTGATCACCACACTGTATATTTCATCAAGTGCAGATTATATTTTTATGACTAGAATTTGTTTTAAATGTGTACACTGAAAAATAAATCTGCAAAATTGTTGTTATCAATTTATATGGGCTGAATTTAAACCAACTTAATTAAATTTAGTAATGCTCAACTTCATTTGTTTGTATAAATTCAGTTCAAATAAATTGTTTTAAAAAAAATTAAGTAAATCCAAGAATCATCTTTGGGGTTTTTTCAGTGTACAGTATTGGATTTTGTTTGAGCAACATTTCATTTTTCTTTCATTGATATTGTTCGTCTCTTTTCTCTGTCTGTCTGTCAGCATACTCCACGCCAGGCTCCACAGCTCCCAACAGGTTTGTCAGCATCGGATCACGGGACAACAACTTTCTGAACATCCCCCAGCAGACGCAGGTGAGTGTGACAGCTGAAGCAGTGTTAAGAACCCAAAATGAGGAGCAAAAATTAGGTTAAAATAACCGATAATGTTTGTTGTTGTTGGCTTGAAACAAACGGACAGGTCTGCTGCACCAGTAATGCCACTGTAAAACAAACTATGATCTGCCCATTTAATGAATGAACAGAGCAATGCAGCAGCCCAGTGGATTATAACAATCACTTTTAATATTCCCGAAATGCACACTGGCTTGTGTGTATTCCTGCGCCTCAACACATGCTGACCAGCTGAAGCTCCAGCTCCACATTTTATTCCCTCCTCATTTATTGAAAATTCTTTCCTCCACTCATGACCGCCCTCTGCTGGACACTTTTTAATTTCCTATTTCCCGTTGAAACTTTTTGGCAGTGATTTTGCTTTTATGATGATTTTCACCCTAAATATTTAAGATATTCTTTAAAAATTGCACATTTAAAGGGATTGTTCACCCAGAAATGAAAATTCTGTGATCAGTAACTCTCCTTTTACTTGTTTTAAAGTGTTATGAGTTTCTTTGTTCTCTTTTTAACACCTAAGAAGATATTTGGAATAAACCAGTAACCATTGACTTCCATAGTATGAGTTTTTCCTGCAATGGATGTAAATAGGTCCAGGTTTTCAGCATTCTTCAAAATATCTTCTTTTGTGATCATCAGAAGATAAAAACTCAAAGGAAACCACTTGCGCATGGGTAAACGAGTACATTTTCATTTTTGGTTGAACTATCCCTTTAAGTAGTTTGGTTCTGAAAGGAAAAAGCAAGGCTTCAATTACTTAAGTGTGCAAAACAGCATGGTCATGTCATGTCATTCATTTGACTGGCACAGTGCATCCAGAAAGTATTCATAGCGTTTCACTTTTTCCACATTTCTTTGTCACAGCCTTATTCCAAAATGGATTAAATTCATTTATTTCCTCAAAATTCTACACACAATAGCCCATAAAGGCAATGTGAAAAAAAGAGTTTTTGAAATTGTCGCAAATTTATCATTAATAGAAAACCTGAAAATCACATGTACAGAAGTGTTCACAGCCTTTGTCGTGAAGCTCTAAATGAGCTCAGGTACATTCTGTTTCCACTGATCATTCCTGAGATGTTTCAGCAGCTTAATCGGAGTTTACCTGTGGTCAATTTAGCTGATTAGACATGATTTAAAAAGGCATACACCTGTCTATATAAGGTCCCAGGGTTGACAGTGCATGTCAAAGCACAAACCAAGCATGAAGACAAAGGAATTGTCTGTAGACCTCCGAGTCAGGATTGTCTCCAGGCACAAGGCTGGGGAAGGTTACAGAAACATTTCTGCTGCTCTGAAAGTTCCAATTACCACAGTGGCCTCCATCATCCATGAGTGGAAGATGTCTTTTTTATCAATGTATTTAAAAATTTAGTGAAATACATTGGTACAAAATACAAGACAACAATTTAAATGTATATTGTTGTTATTATTATTATTGAATGTGAAACTGGATTAGGAAATTCCAATCATAATTTTAATTCAAAGAGATTTTCTTAAACACTGCTCCAAAATTTCAACTTAATGATCACTGTAATATGCAAACGTGACTGCATTGATACTGAAGCATGCAGCATGTAGTTTAAAGAAACCTTTCAGATGCTCGTGAGGATGAACTTTATTAAGGTTTTCAAAGGTCCTTCAGCAGATCTAAAACTCAAATGTAAGACACATGAGCTGTGGTCTCGTCATCATTCTTTACTATTCTCCAATTAGTCCAATTTTAATGAATAAAACAAGTGAACTGAGACACTGAATGATCTAAAAGAGCAGCCGCTTTTGCAGTTTGTGCTGGATTTTTATTAATCAATCATTGAAACTTTGCAAACTTAGCAGTAATAAAGAGATTAGTTGAGCGTGAATGTTTAGCATTTCTGGAGCAACACTTTAGAAGATGGAGGTGTATGATTAAGCTGTGAGCGCCACCATCTGGAAAAACACAGCAATTATTGTGGCATTATGGATGCACTTATTATTGTGGAGCACTGTGGGATTAAATAAGTGCACTCAGTAATGTCCACTATGGTTTCAGACACCACTACAGCTAATTAAATTCACACATCCTCTAAAATCACCAATACACACATGTGAGACACAACAGGCCAAAACAAAAAAGAAAGTAAGTTGTTGTTTTTTTCTCCCATGCATCCATGAATTGACATTTGTAGCTTTTTGGATTTTTTAAAAGCATTATTCAGTCTACTGTCAAGAATACATATAAAATACACTTTAAATTAATACTTTTTTTGACTTTGTGTCTGTAAATTCCAATTACAATAAAAAAAATTTAAATGCTGACTTTTTTTTCTAATACACACCAAACTCCACAGATTTATCCAGATCTATATTCACAGAGACTTCTGTTCATAGATAATTTCCCTGATTATAAACATTTTAAACAAAAAACTATTATTTTTTCCTGTTTTCAGTACTTTCAGAATGATGAAGTGATAAAAAGAGCTTCCCAAAATCTCTTTACTCTAATATGTTTATTTTAAAACCAAAATAACCAAAGTGACTCCAAAGTTCTGATTGTTTTGTGCTAGAAATGTATGCAAATTAGTGCATACTTCATTAATGCATCATTTGCATATTTAAACATGCGATATGATTGCAATTTGTATCAACTTGAGAAGTAATAATGAACCTACAATGTCGTTCCTATTAAAAAAAAAGAGTCACTGTTGACTGTGTTTGGGTGTTTTGGGATCAGAATCATGAAAGAAAAAAAAAAAGAGGCGCAAAGTTGAAGCACGGCCTCTAAACTGAGAAGTCACGTCCCGTTCGTCTGGTTGCTCGGAGCAACGAGACATGATGTCAGAGCAGATGAGGGAGGATGTGAGAGCAGGAGGAGCGCTCGTCCCGTCCGGCTGCTGACCTGCAGGAGTCGAGCTGAACAAAAGTTCCCAGCAGCCCCCCCTCACACCGAGAGTCCAGCATTTGACTTCCACAGAGCCAGTTTTGTAAACAGCCAATCAGGAGGGAGAGTTCAATGTAGAGCTTCAGTTTCACAATCTCAACATGAGCATTCAGTGATTACTGGCAGAGATAGTGAGTGAGTGTATTATGTAAAAGATAGTTATAATATAGAGAGAGTTAAAAGTGAAACTATTTGCCCTCCTGTGTTTAAACACAAGCTTTAATAACTAATTTCAAATAACTAAGCAGTGGCTCAGTGGTTAGCACGGTCACCTCACAGCAAGAAGGTCGCTGGTTCTGAGTCCCGGCTGGGTCAGTTGGTGTTTCTGTGTGGAGTTTGCATGTTCTCCTCATGTTGGCTTGGGTTTCCTCCCGGTGCTCCGGTTTCCCCCACAGTCCAAAGGCATGCACTACAGGTGAACTGAATGAACTAAATTGGCCGTAGTGTGTGTGAATGAGTGTGTATGGGTGTTTCCCAGTACTGGGTTGCAGCTGGAAGGGTGTGAAAAATATGCCGGAATAGCTGGTGGTTCATTCTGCTGTGGCAACCCCTGATAAATAAGGGACTAAGCTGAAGGAGAATGAATTCATTTAGTCTTTGTCATGATGTGTACATCATTTTTACTAGTTTGTTTGCAAGCAACTAATATTCCACTTAAACGTGCCATTTAAAGGGCTCAATTAGGCGAGTCATTGGGCAACAGTAGTTTGTTCTGTAGCCAATCAAAAATATCTGTATTTTAAATGAAATTGACCTTTTTTTTAAAAATGTTTTAAATATATTTGTTTATTCCAGCCAAACTAAAATAATAATCATTTTAAATATTAATTTAGTTCTCAACAATATATATGCGTTTGATAATATTTTTATCAATGTAACCCATGAATAACACATTACAATTTACAGTACAGTTAGTGCACCAGGCTCAAATATAATACTTACAAACCACAACAGGAATGTTGTGTAGTGTCGCTTAAAAATGTGTTGTTCACCCCAAACAAAAGTGACAGACATTTACATAACATTTAGATTTACTGAGTACTTTTTAAAAAATCTATTGACATTATTCTTAACATACGAGCGGCCATAGCTATTGGAATCTTTTTGGCTCCAGACTTCTGGTCCCATTCACTTCCATTGATATTTAGACTTTAAAAACAGCTCTTTCTGCTGCTTGGTTGCAAACTGACATTTTCTTATTACATTATTTTCCTTTTTGTGTATACAGGGTGTCTATAGGTTTCATCAAAACAAATTTAAGACTTTTTAAGACCTTTTTAAGACCATTCTGATTTAAATTTCAGACTTGCACAAGGTTGAACTCTAAGGATTTTTTCTAATGGTCCAAACATAAAAACATTAAAAACAAATGTTTTTGTAAGTTTGATAATTAAACATATGTTTATGAATAGAAATAGAAATAGAGTTGGTAAATAGAGTTAATAAATAAGAGTTGAGATAGAATAATTGGATGGGTGTAGGCCTGATTGGGTAGCTTTACTTGAATATAAGAAAATGAATGCCTGTTTAAAATGATTCAAGACCTACAACACAATATTTCAGTGAATTTAAGACTTTTTATGACCCCGCGGATACCCTGGTATAGTCATGTACACACTTGTTTGTAGAGCAGGTAGTTTGACCGTTTTCTGCTCTTTATTATTCATGATAATTTCTTCCATAGGCAACTGAATTTGAAGTTCTAAAACAATCGCAATAACGAGTGCACTTCTGTATTGCAGAATAAGTCAATAAATTTATATAATTTCCATATAAATATAAATGATCATATTTTACATACAGTAACACATTTATTTGCTCTTTGTTTATTGGTCATATGTTACAGACTGACATTTACATGTACTTCACTTTCCAAGTAGTACCTGACTAGTGAACGAAGGATAATAGCTTCACCTTAATATCGATAAACAGTCAAATGTGTAGAGGTAACTCAGCTGCTGACACTTATTTTTTTTTTTTATAAACAAGAATTGACAAGTTTGGGGTGTTTTTCTGTAACTCCAGCGTGATGTAAATGCACTATAAACTGTAAATATTTCTCTGTTGATAGTTGTTATCAGTGAGATTTGGACTTTATGATCTGTATTAAGAGAAGGTAGGAAAGTCAATGCGTCGGCATTAGAGAGACGCGTCAGAAAGAGGTTTGCTGGTTCAGAAACTGCAGCACTTCCTCAAAAATATTTAGATTTAGCTTTTTACATTTGAGATTTAAAATGCACACTGTTTGGGTTGCTTCAACATAAACATTTAAAGCTAAAATAGAGGTTTTCCTGTGTATGTGATGTTTATTTGAATTACAATTTAATTGTTTATCTTCAGTAACTGTTGGTTGAGGACTATTTTAATACATCCGATTATCAAATTTCCACAAAATTATAAAAATGATTAAATTACACATTTGTATTATTAAAAGTCTTGTCATGTTGCTATTTTCATAGCGTTACAATTATATTTTAAAATATAAAGTTTAATAACTAGTACACCTGACAAAAGTCTTGTCGCCTATCCAAACTTTAGGAACAACAAATAATAACTTGACTTCTAGTTGATCATTTGTTATCAGCAGAGGCTATATGAAAGGCAAATGCCTCTAGATTACACTTATTTTACCTAAATAAAATATGATCATTCCTTGATTTTTGAAGATTTTATTAGGACAGTAAGGTCCGACTTAGCTTAGACAAAAGTTTTGTCACTTAAAAGAAATAATGTACAGTCTAGAATATAAAGTCATGGTGCAGTGGAGGAAGAATGAATATTGTGTATGAATTGCGTGAGCTTGGAGGACTGCAACCATACATCTCAGCAATGACTCAAATCATGTATTAATAAAGTCATCTGGAATGGCAAAGAGAGCGTTCTTGCAGGACTCCCAGAGTTCATCAAGATTCTTTGGATTCATCTTCAATGCCTCCTCCTTCATCTTACCCCAGACATGCTCAATAATGCTCATGTCTGGTGACTGGGCTGGCCAATCCTGGAGCATCTAGACCTTCTTTGCTTTCAGGAACTTTTATGTGGAGGCTGAAGTATGAGAAGGAGCGCTATCCTGCTGAAGAATTTGCCCTCTGCTGTGGTTTGTAATGTATTGGGCAGCACAAATGTCTTGATACCTCAGGCTGTTGATGTTGCCATCCACTCTGCAGATCTCTCGCACACCCCCATACTGAATGTAACTCAAAACCAAACTTGACTGATTTCTGTGAGAATCTTGGGTCCATGCGGGTTCCAATAGGTCTTCTGCAGTATTTGTGATATTCAACAGATGATTCATGTAAAAAAAAATAAAAATAAAAAAATTCGACCTTCTGCCACTTTTCCAAATGATCAACTAGAAGTCAAGTTATTATTTGTTGCTCTTACAACTAGGATCAACGACAATACTTTTGTCAAGTAGTGTGGGTGTGATGTAGAAATGTGTGCCAGTTTTTAAGTGTTACAAAACCGTGTCATATTGTTGATATTTTAATACATTTTTAAAATATTACGTTTTATAAGTATATTAGTGGTGTCATGTAAAAATGTGTGTTTAAGAGAGTTCTCAGAAATGGAGAAAAATCTGTATCATGTTGCTAAATAATGGATTGCAAAAAAGTCAAATATAGTAAAACACTAACAATGCCTTTATATTATGTGTTTTTTTTACAGTCATGGTTCCTTTGACGAGGTCCTGCCTGCAACCTGTCGACACAATTTGAAAGTTTTCTTTTTTGACAAAAAAAAAATCCTGTTTGAAAATTCCCTCCCACCCGAAACGCACCCTACGAGACGTGAGCAGAATATGATTGGGAAACGTTCGAGCATGTATTTGCCAACCGTCAGACGCCCTTCAAACCCACATGAGCAGCTCCGCTAAAGACTGTCAGATCACCGGCGGAGGAAACAGACGGACTGACACACACAAACTACAGTATCTGATCTACAGAGACACTAAATCATACTAGCAACAAGGATGTAGTGTACAATGGCCGGGATTTTCAACAGTTTCAGTGGTGAGGATTCAGACACAACAAACATGCAAGATTTGTACTCGATCCCTTATATTTTGTTTGTAATCAAAACACTTAAACGTGCTGACATTCAGCAAACAGGCGACACTAAAATTCACTAGACGTTTCACATTTATAGCGGGTGAAACGTCTGTTTAATGTTCCCTTCTTCAGTCAATTCATAAACTAACTACGAAAAGCAGGAGTATTGCACTACAAATATGAGAAGAACACTAGATTGACGTGCACTATTGATCGACGGCGGACATTATTTGCACATTAGATTGCGGAGAAAAATGAACACACGCTACAAACTACCCAGAGATGCTTCTGAAAGGACGTCCTCATTTTTAGGCCTTGAACAAAAATGTTTTGTCATTTCAGGCCCTTAGCCAACTAGATTTTTTTAGCACTCCTGTAGGACAGACAACGCACACATTTAAGGCACATTTGTGAGATTTTGTGGCTGTTAAAGGACCTCTGTTTGCTGGTAATAGTGCAGTGATACACTAAATCAACCAAATTCACTGAGCAACAGTCAGTTTGTGTTACTTTGAATGGGATATATGCACAGCTAGTGTTAATCATCTAATGATAAACTTCTCGTGAAAGTCTAATGTGACTTTTCATAAGGTTTCTTTTACAGCATCGATGTTGTAATGTAATTAAAATACACTCAGTTAAATAGACTGAAGCATTGATTTAGTCAAGCGTAAAACGATTTAAAAGATTGTCAGGAGCAGCTGGCGAGTGCAAAAACTCTATTGAAAATACTGGGGTAAAATAAATGACATGGCAGGGGGAAATGGATTTTAATGCAGTGCTTCTTGTATGGTTTAAGACCCACTTTATATCGTACAGCAATCAGGCAGTAAAAAAACACTCATTTTTAAAGAAATCAGACCTTAAACGTGACGATTTTATAATGGAAAGACTGTTCACCGGAAGCGCTGAGGCTGGCTGCCTGAAATGAAATGTCTGTGTGCATATACCCCTTTGATGTGAACTCTACTGAAGGTTTTGCTCAAACTGGATTCTATTAAAACAGAAACGATTTCACTCACTACTTCCGTCAATCATCTGTACACAATATATACAAAAGTAAAACAGTAGCAAAGTCTGCACTTATAACAATGTTCTCACTGGGGGGAAAAATCCAGGGTAGGGTTGCACCAGCTGTTCGTTCTTTAACTGGAACGTTAAGTTCACACTATGGGCTTAGTAACTACCATAAAGTTTGTAACTAAATTTGTTCTTACTTCGGTTGCACCACAAGTTCTTACGGGAAACCATAGTTAGCAGGTCGTAAGCTCTCCGTACAGTCGTATTTAATGACGTAATATCCAATAAAAAGTATTTAAATCGTTAAACATAGCGTTACGTTTAAACGTAAATGTTCAGTGGTGCAACACAAAAATATTTAATAGTTAGTTGTAACTTAGTGTCTCTTTAAGTCACAACTAGGCTACGTTTTAACTTTTTCAGCCGAATTGATAAACGATAAAAACAATGACAGCCAATCAGAGTCCTTCACTTGTTGAACTGGATATTCAGTGCGCTCTTACAGTGTAACAAATAAAACATTATTATGCATTAACTTGTGAACACCTAAAGGTTGATTTATACTTCTGCGTTTGTTTTTTCTGAACACTACAAGTAGCTAAAACCTGCTAATTCAAACGCAGGAAAAGGCGGACGTGCAACACAAAAAAAGATTTCCTTCACGGAACTCCACACTTGTAAACACTCACTCCGTTGCTCTCAACTCCGTCTACGCATGTCACTGGTAGCAAGCTGACCAATCACAGAGCTTGCGCTATGTGTCGTTGCGACGTGTAGTTACATTTTTTGAGAGGTCAGCATCGGCGTCAGCCTTGGCGAGGGCTATGCCATCGTGCGAAGGCTGCGCTGAGGCATATGCATGCATTTGACGCAGAAGTATAAATCAGCCTTCAGTTATTATCAATATTAGTGTGAATGAGCCTTAAATGTGACCGCTACAATTCTCTAATTATTATTTAATTAAAGCCATATGCTTGAAAAAAAATATGTTTTTCAATTAAAGTAGAAATGTTCTTGTGAGAGCATATTAGTAGCTGATTACTTAGTCGCAACTAGTCATTCCGTTATTTAGAATGTTTTTGTATCGAGGCTAAAAGTCCCCGGTTGGTTAGCGCTAATAAAGACGGCCATAGAGACACGCCCACTTCTGAATTTTGTTTACACTCCCAGAAGTCCGTGTTCCAAGAACATGTGACATCACTGCGGAGCAAAAGAATGCCTGACATATCAGAGGGAAGTGGGTCACTCGGAGTCGAGTTTACTAGGTTTCACTCCATTTCAGAATGGCTGTCTTAAATAATAAGTATGTGCAAACACACACACACACACACACACACACACACACTGTCCTCCGCAGAGATTGATTACAAAGGGAAGCCTCCATTAAACAAACCTTTAGCTGTAATCGATAACCTCACAAAATAACTGGACTGCCTGACCATGAATCTCACTGCAGGGAAGCATTGTTGCCGGACGGCGGCCGTGTCATCGCTTTTTGCTAGAAAACCCACCCGAGAATCGTGATGGCAATGGTCTTTTCTTTTCTAATCAAAGGAAGTGCCTCTGTATTCCCATTATGCAATTTGTTAAACATGAATTCAGGTTATTTTCTTGCATATAAGCTATAGAGGAGCGTGAAATTTTTATGAGAAGAAGAAAAAAAAAAAAAAACAAGCGTCAGCTCACTAGTTACAAACATCTTTATATATACAGGATATATCCATATATATTTATATATACATGTTTTTTTTTTTTATTTGCCTAATAAGCTCAGTGGCAGTCTAGTTATTTTTTGAAGTATGGCGAGTTATCATCAATCCGTTCAGAAGTACCAGTCCCCGGTTCTGCACTTAATCATAATAATAATAATAATAATTAGAGTGGAAAATAAACTGGCGGAAATCAGATTTCCGCTAAAAACGTACAGCATAGCGTAGAGTTAAAAAAAAAATAATGCACGGCTTTTGATTTTTCTATTGTGTTTGGACAGGAAGTATTTGTTATTGCAAAATAAAGTGTGTTGATTGAGCCATGTGCAATGCCTTGGGTAGAAACTGTGTTTGTCTGATTGTTAGGGTGTACAGGAAAGCGTAGAGGTGAAAAATCCTTCTATTATAGTAAAGTCCACACCGTCCGGGACTCTAAACTACAGGGCGGACAGAGCGAGCGAGAGACAGAGAGAGGAAACGCTCTTTGTAAGTTTTGGGAATTTGTTTTTTGTAATCTTTCCTTTTTTTCTGCTTTTTTTAATCGTTTATTTGTAATGATTTGTTCTCAAAACTTAGGAGGGCTGATGAAACTGTTTTTGTGACATGTCAGAATATATCACTAAATGAAACAGGTGCTTTTTATGGATTATTATACATAAGATGACAAAAAAAAATAAGTGTTAGCAAATTTTAGGGGGAAAAAAGCGTTCTCTTTTTCTTTTTGTATTTGCTAAAGAGGGAAGGGGGTTCATAGTGGTCAAGGTTGTGACAAAAGGCATTTTTCTTCCAACCTTTTCTCAAGGAATGTTGACTGACAGCAAGATTTTAACCGGATTTTTTATGCTATGCATTCCAGTTTTTAGGACTTACATGCTTTGAAGCTGCTGTCTTAGAACGTAAAGTTTCATCGAAAAAACTTTGCAGGCTTTTTTGTATGTTCAAATTGTTTCACTGATACATGACAAGATCTTCCCTGTTCATGGGAGAGGCTTTAACACAGCTCGTATAATCTAAAATGCCCTGTGTAAGCTACAAACTAAGTGGTGTCTATGTATTATATACACACTTTTTAATTTATGCCAAGTTCAGACTGCATGATTTGACCCGCCGACAAGTTTTGAAAAATCCTAGACAAATCACAGGCTAATCAGTGCTTGTTCATGTGAGTAATAATATCTACCTATTTCCATCCACCTATTTGTATGCGCAATTTGCATATGCACATAAAAAAAAAAGAATACAGTTGACTGAAACGCCAAGATGCTCATCAATTTAAAAAAATGCACCTTAAAAACTTATGCGCATAATTGAGTGGGATAAACTTTTCATTTGATAAAAAAAATGTGCATAAACTATGACAGAAACACTTTCACCAAACAAATTCCAGTATGCGCATTAAAAAAAGGTCATGTGACTTTGTTATAAGAGATCACGTGATGATTAAAATGTGGGTGAATGGACAAATCAGCAGGCTGAGCACACTGTACAATATCTCAATTGTTGTTTCGGTCATTCTTAAATGCTTCAACCACTTCAGTATGAGTGTTATTATATTATTAATTACCTCCAGAACTGACAAGAGCATCTGTGCTCCACGTCTCACGCCTTCTAACGCCACTACGTGTTCATTACGTGTGGGCATTGTTTTCTGAGGCGCAAGTCATTTATTAAATGAAGAAATGATTGATGCAGCTTCTCCTACCGCAGCAAATTTCGTCTTTACTGTTGGTATTTGCTACCCGTTAATCAGGAAGTAAAGATTTTGTTCTCTTTGAATCATTGGATGGAAACGCTGCTTTATTTGCACATCTTTTATGTGATAATCCATTTTCGCGCATACATTTAATTCGCATCTTTAATGGGAAACATAGCTAATCACACAGTGTGAACTGTCAAATACGCGATCAGAGAATCGCCAATAAGTCGCCGACACACCTCAGACACTTAGCATTCTAAACATCTGGAGCTGTCGATACAAAATCATGCCCTGTGAAAAGTGATCCAATTGTGGTAGAAGTTAAAATGGCTTCTTTTTGGCCCAAGAAATGAAGGTAGCACTAGTGTTAATTTGGCAGGAGCACCAGTCTCTGTTATGTCGAAAACCAAAAAAAGGTGAGAAGAAATAATTCCCAAATGCCCTTTAAAAGCCAGGGCTGCAAAACAAGTAATTTTTTTATCCCACTAAAGGCTTCTTTCTCATTGTGTAGGCTAGTTAATTTAGGCTACTACATGACCTTGTGTTGTTTCCATGTCACTTCTCACATGTGTTTGGTTGTGAGACATAGTTTGTGGACCGAGACAAAGTTGTTGGCGATTCTTCCGATTGTAAAGTCATGCATTTTGAAACTCCCTGTCGCCAATCCATCTTACAGTGTAAACACAGCAGCGACGAAACGCTAGTCATGCGGTGTGAAAACATCTGTAACGCTACTATGAAAATCGTGCAGTCTGACATTTAGAATGATCGATTTACAAAACAGCATCCCTGTTTATGCTTTATACAAAATTACATTCTTTCCACGCTCAAAGTGACCAATCAGAGAGAAGGAGAGAGAGAGAGTTGAACCCCTTCCCCTCTGACCCTACAGCGCCCTCTACCGGCCCTCCTTGTAAATGACTCTAAATATTTGTTTTGTGATCTAGTGTTAGACTCAGAGCATCATAAAGGTTGTCCCTAAAAAGTGCCTTTTGTTCACAGACACCATCTTGTAATCCTGAGTGCCCATCTCAAAAAAAAACTACAAAAAAGAAAAAAAAAAGAAAAGAAAAAAAAAAGTCCCCTCCTTCAAACTTCTGTATTTCTCCTTATCAAAGCAGTATATATAGTACTAAAGGAAATCGGTGTGACTTAGTTCCTCTTTTTATTGTTGGATAATTAAGAAAACTGTACAAAAAGAACAAAAAAATGATGATAATATCTGTCTTGCTTTTTTCTTCCTCTGTAATCTTGTCTTCTGCCTCTTTTGGACACTGGAGTAGTCTATAGTTGCATAACCATCGCCTTTTCCCTGCGCCCCTTTTCTCTGAACGGAGGGGTTTTAAAATAAAAAAAAAAATGTTGTCTGAGCAGAATGCAGTTAGCTCACATGTTATTCTTGTCTGTAAGCTTCACGTTGTATTCATACCGATCTCTTCAGCTTCTCCATTGAACAGTTAATGTACGTGAACAAGTTACGCTGGTGAGCTCTGGTGGGACGTCCGACCGACGGGTGCTTTTCTGTTTGTTTGATTTTTTAAAAAGATGGACGAGGTTACGAAAACGAGGCTGACCGCTGGGGTAGAATAGGGTTGTTTTAATCTATTTATTTCTTTTTTTTTTTTTGATTGTTACCAAATCCAGTTGATTTGCTATAATCTGTATGTATTAAGAATCTGTATTGATGATGCACCTTTCGAATGGTTGTAAGTGACCAGATATTTAATTTAAAGCGGAAAAAAATACACAAAAAAGTAAACAAAGCACCTTAAAAACGGAGTGGTTTCAGCCCAGGGAAAGCGACAGTTTCAAAATGATCATTTATTTTTTTCCTTTTCAACCAAAGTGATTAAAAAAAAAAAAAAAAAAAAAAAAAGAGCGAGAATTAAATTAAACTTCTCACCAGCAAAAGCCGACTTGTGCTTATTAACAACTCGCTTCCTCCCACAAACTAATTATGCAATCGTTTCACTTTGTGAGTCGGCTGTGATTTACTAATAAGTGAAAGCCATAGTGATGGACATGCGTTTGAAGCTCTCGTTGTCCCTCCCTGGTACTGGCCGTCCATTTTCTTTCTTTGCTATTTAGTTTTGTACTGTTTAAACTGAGCGGATGCTTTAGCGTAGCGCGAGACCTCGGTTTGAAGGCCTCGAGCGGCGCCCTTCGGTCCACACTCCTTCCAGAGCTCATGGTGAAATGCATGTGTTGATTACGATTTCTTTTCCATAATAAGAAAAACAAGAAAGAGCAGCACCTTTAACTGATTGAATAAAAGGATGTTCTTGACTGTAATGCTGACCTTGTGTGGTTCTTTTCAGCCTCCCTTATCTTCCAAACTGAAAGATAATTCCAATTTTGGCAGAGCAGCGTGAGGGCATCATTTGATTTCATTTGATGAACTTTCCACTTTTGTTGTAGGCTGCATGCTTTACACCATGGGTCTCAAAGTGAATTCCTGGAGGGCCGCAGCTCTGCAGTTTTGCTCCAACCCTAATCAAACACAGCTGATCCAAATAATAGAGGTGTTCAAAAGAGTCTCGAACATTTTGATTAGATGTATCAGTTGTGTTTGATTAGGGTTGAAGTAAAACTGTGCAGAGCTGCGGCCCTCCAGGAATTCACTTCAGCCCCAAGCAGTGAAGACATTCTTCTAATTGTCTGAATCATGCGTTTACACTTGCCATACAACTTACGACGTCGCACATGTGTAAAGGCAGGTTCTAGCATCTGCGCCATGATGGAAGAAATTGTCTTGCTGTTAGCTCTGCTAAATGTGAAGATCGCCCAACTTTAAAATAATTTTGAAGCGGAGAAGGGAGGAAAGAGCCGTCATCGCAGCTTGCGCCTATGGTTTATATATGGTGTCCTCCACTGACTCGTCTCCCAACAGGGCAAGAAGGCTGCTAACTTCTGCCATCGACCACTGTCCTTCTCCATGTTTCCATGTTATTGTTTACCATGTCAGCGTCTTCACACACGCTCTTCCTTCTACGTCATTAAACCGCAGAAAAGTACCACATTGTCCCAAGTTTAATGATGTACAAAGACCAGCATGCCTCAAATCCGATCTGCCTGTTTACATGATAGTCGCAGTGTCACATATCTGGAGGCCTGGAATTGATCTCTAAATATTAAAATGCATGCGTTTTTTTTCATGTTTTCATGGTCATAGAAGAGATCCAATCTGTCACATATAAGCAAGAAAAATTTGAGTTGGGTCTCATTTAACTGACAGTGTAAACGGGGCCTTTAAGACCCATGCTTTACATTTTTATGTGTCAGTATTTAGCAATTTATTTAGTTTTACTTTTAGAGCGGATTTTATTTATTATAGTAGCCTAGGTCTATTCACTGCTTGAATTAATTTTGCATCAAATAAGCATTGGTAAAAATGTCTCTGCAACTAAATCACCGACATATTAGCTGTCAAAACGTGTGCATGACTGCATAAGTTATTTGAAAAACTTGAATATTGGTTATGACTATTATCATACACAATTCAGTCAGTCGGCACCTTAAAATAGTACGCATTTGTAAGTCCATTTTTTTTTATATTCTCTTTGAACCCCTTGGGGGGAGAACACCCACTTTTTTATTTTGTAGGGTAGATTGCGGAGGTTTTATTCATACATTTTTAAAACTCGATTCAACCCTCAGCTTAGCAACATGGACACCTCCAAATGGTGTTAAATGTCACATACTGAGTATATAAGATATAATTTACCCAGAAATGTCATTTCTGTCTTACAGTTTTACTCCATTGGTTTGGCTCATTTCTTGAAACAAATTACATTCTCAAAACAACATGGACAAACCTCTGAACCACTTGCCAATTGTTCACAACAGAATTGAATTTCTCATTCATTTCATCAAATTGCAAATGTCTTAGTACATCTTTGCAAATGATTAAGTACAGATTTTAGCAGATTTAGTACAGATTACTACATTTAGCACAATGTCCAAGTGAATAGATCTTGTTGATCTAAACCACAGGTTTCAAACTCAGTTTCAAAACGTGTCAGAGTCATTTCATTGTATAAGTCATCACATGCACAATAGTTTGTTCAATTGTCAAAATTAGTCAAGACCATAATACCATGAATACCATGCAGTAGGTGAATCCTTGGAACATTTGATCATTGTAGGGGATGGTTGCGACATTAACACCATTTCTTCCCTCTTTGCATTGCAAGAGAGAATATACGGTACACTGTGATGTCTGTGGCCACAGACTTCAGCGTGTGGATGCTCAGGAGGGTGAGAACAGCGGGCAGTAAAGAGCTGTTATGAAACTCCAGCTTTATTTATAGCACTCTAGTATTTTGATTGTGTGTTTATATTACAGTTTATTATGCTGTATACAGTTTCTTGCTCTGATATATGGAAGTTACTTTGTGTGTGGTTGATCATTACAATAAAAAAAAGGAGTTACCCTTTCCTTGGCAGTATGAGTGCAATGTGTGACGTCAAACCTTGGAGGCTACTCTCACCCTAAAATCGTATTTCTTTTTTTTCAGTTTTATACACAATTGTATTCTGCTAGTTAGACAAAAACGGTACAGTAACCATTATCAATGAAGGACTGGGCTAAGATTGTGAGGTGGACATGAGGGATATTTTAGTGGTCCTTTGCCATGGGGACAAAACATCTAAACGTTTTGACTTGCAGTGCTTACACAATGCAAAAGGGACAAAGCATTTTGGGGGCACTGACTGTTTAAATGAGAAGAGAATTTAGTTTTGACAAATGAGTGAACTGTTTTGGGAAAGGTATGAGCTATTGCAGGTGAACCATGGTGTTGTGCCGAACCATCCACATTATTTTGGCAAAAGCACCAAGTGTTGAGAATGTCTGGTCTGTTTCAAGAAATGAGCCAAAGCAATTGAGAAGGATATTTCCATTTTTGTGACACTGACTTTCTATTTGAGAAAGGAATTTAGTTTTGATGCATGAGTGAACTGTTCTGGGAGAGATATGAGCTTTTGCAAGTGAGCTATAGCTTTGTGCTAAACTGTAACACTGTTTTGCCAAATGATCTTAGAATTTTGAGAATGTAATTTTTGTTTCAAGAAATGAGCCAAACCAATGGAGAACAACTGTAATGTAACGATGTAATCGCAGCAGCAAACTTGAGCCAACGCACTGTTTACTACCAAAAGAACACGTGAATGATGTCTAGTGAACAGTACCTGCATAGGCTGTGAATAACAGATAACAAAGTTGTAAAAAACATTCAGTTTGTTGCAGAGCGATCGTTTGGAAGCCACGCAGTACGTATGCTTTGCATTGTTTGTGTTTATTCCTTCATGTCATGGCTGCAGTCACTCTGAATGCACTCGGCTCACACCGCATTTAAATGATCATATCGCATTTTAGAGTTATGATTTTGACAACCATTTGATGTTTTTTTTTTCTTTCATAGCGAACACAGTGTTGTGCATGAAAATAAATGTTTACTGGGGCAGTAGAACTACTTTAGCCTGTATAATATTGAATATAATGCAAGATAATCTCTAATGTCTCATTTTACCAGTGAATAGCATATGTCTCAAACACAATCATTCACCTTCAGAATTGAATGGTTGCATTCTGATGTCATCATATTAAAAAGTCTGTTCAAGACCTTTGTGTAGGTCTACTGTTGGTTAAAATGCTCAATTTAGTTTAGACTTGGAATAGTCTAAACTAAATTGAGCAGTTTAACCAACAGTAGACCTACACAAAGGTCTAATGCTTTTAATGTTGTTTTACCATATGTTTGACAAATATCAATAATAACAGGCTACTCGCATCTTTTTTTTTTTTTTTTTTTTACCATTTTCCTTAAAAAAAAAAAAAAAAAAAAAATCAGCATTCAGTACATAATTTCACTATTACTTGAAATTACCTAGTCTGATCCTTTTTATAAGAAATAAGCCTTTTCCCGAGCAGACCTGAACTGTTGTTATGACAAGAACTCTCGGATGAGTTTTGAAAAACAAAACAATCTTGGATTAAATTGTCAATAACCAAATCCAGCTACAGTAATCAAGTAATCCACATATGAAGAACAGACCCCAGGCCAAAAAGAGACTGTTGGTTTTTACAATGGCTCATTCAAACAGATCCGAGATCAGGTGATACCTGTGAAAGCTGTTCAGTGATTGGCCACAAGAGGGCGATCTGTATGATCCTGCATAGTTGATGTGTAGTTTATATTACACAGGTCATCCTGCAGAATACCATTAACATTTCCAAACAAATTATGCAATAATGAAGCCACGCTAACTGAAATCACTTGAGTCTGCCAATTCAATACTCGCACCGAAAAACAGCTTCAAAAACAGCCATCACTAAACGGCAGTACTTGAAGTAGATTCACTTTTTTTTTTATTATAGCAAGCATTTATTGAACATTTTCTTGATAAATTAACAGTCTATATGTATTAATGTATTGTTATTACATTTTTTATTTCCCTCAGAGAGGGGATTGGGTAACAAATGCAAGTAATTTTTATTTTTATTAAAAAAAAAAAACATTAACCCACATTGTTTAAACACATCTTTTAAAGTGGTCAACATTGTATATTAATCACCGAATATGTTAAAAAGTAACAAAATTGCTAAACTATTAAAGCTTTCAAACAAATTAGTCTATTGTAACCAGCACTTGTGCAAAGCAAAGAGTCAGTTTAAAATATTGAAGGCCACCTTTTGTAAACACTCTTCAAAATACATTTGAATACTGTTTGTAATATAAAATAGAACCATTGTAACCTATTTACATTCAATTGTTACATTACAATGATAATTTACAAAGCCAAGCAAAAGATTTTTCTGTGCCATTAATGAAATTGACCTGGAATTGTCCCATATGAGGTTATTGAAGTGAACTGAACACACAAACATCACTGTGCATCTCTCAGAGGTGGTAAATGTTTTTGTGATCGCATCCCTCCCAGTCCACAAGCTCCGAGCGGTGAAACCACAGCGAGATCTCCCTCTGCGCTCCCTCCACTGAATCAGACGCATGCACCACATTTCTGAAGCAGTGAGCAGACATTTATTCATTTCACCTCAGCTAGACTAATCATACAAGATGCATGTTGTTTTTTAATTTACTGACCCTGGTACAAAATATATATTACTAAAAAAAATAAGATTTAAAGGGCACTCATAAAGAAGATCATCTTTTGTAAGCTGTTTGGACAGAAATGTGTGTAGGTATAGTGTGTCCACAGTCATATTGGAGTGATATAAAGACTGCAAGTCTTTTTTTTTTTAATTGTCTTAAATTTAAATAGGATTCAAA